GAAGAACTAACAAATCTGTCCTGGAAGTGCAACTGGAATGCTCCTTTGAAGCAAGAATGGCCAGACTTTGCTTGGCCTACTTTGGTCATATTGTCAGAAAGGACTGTTCCCTGGAGAAAGATATAATGCTTGGTAAAGTGGAGGGCCAATGAAAAAGGGAAGGCCCTCAATGAGATATATTGACACAGTGGCTACAACGGTGGTCTCAAGTACAAAAAATATTGTGAAGCTGGCACAGGACTGGGCGGTGTTTTGTTCTGTTGTTCGTAGGGTCACTGTGAGTCGGAGCTGACTTGAGGGCACCTAACAGCAACAAAAACAAAAATGGCTGATCCACCACTCATCTAACAAGTTTGTTGTACTATGGTGGCTTTTGTGTAGCTGCGATGTTGAAAGTTTTGTCACCAGTATTTCAAATTCCAGCAGGGTCACCCCTGGTGAACAGATTTCAGTGGAGCTTCCATAATAATACAGACTTGGAAGAAGGATGTGGAGGTTTATGTCTGAGAGAATTGACCACTGAAAACTTTATAAATAGCAGTGAACATTGCCTGGTATACTGCTGTAAGAAGAGTCCCTCAAGTTGAAGACCCTCACTATATGGCTGGGGAAATCTTGTCTTCTCAAAGTTAATGATGTTGATAGAGTAAAGCTTTTGGAACATTCATTTGCTTATGGAGCATGACTCAAAATGAGAAGAAACAGCTGCAAACATCTATTAATAATCAGAATGTTGAATATACAAAGTATGAATCTAGGAAAATTGAAAATTTTCAAAAATGAAATGGAATGCCTAAAGATCAATACCATAGGCATTAGTTAAAATGTACTGGAATCAACCATTAAGAATTGGACAATCATATGATCTACTATGCTGTGAATGACAAATTGAAGACAAATGACATAACACTTGTTATCAAAAAGAATATTTCAAGATATATCCTGAAGTACAATGCTGTCAGTGATAGGATAATGCCCACATACCAATAAGAAAGACCAGTTATACTATTATGATTCAAATTTATGCACAAACCACTGAAACCATAGATGGAGAAATTGAAAATTTTTACCAATTTGCACAGTCTGAAACTGACCAAACATTCAATCAAGATGCATGGATAATATCTAGTAATTGAAATGCAAAATTAGAAACGAAGTGTTGGTAAAAATAACACCAGTGATCTCATGAAAGAATCTTGCAAGACCAACAATTTATTCATTGTGAATACTTTTTTTCAAAAATATAAATGGTGACTACATGGACCTCATCAGATGAAATACACAAGAATCAAATAGACTGTATCTATGGAAAGAGACAAGGGAGAAGTTCAATGTCATCAGTCAGAAGAAGGCCAGGGGTCAACTGTGGAACAGAACATCAAATGCAAGTTAAAGTTGAAGATGAAGAAAATTAAAACGAACTCACAAGAGCCAAAACATGAGCTTAACTATATCCTGCCTGAATTTAGAGACCATCTAAAGAATAGATTTGACACTTTGAATATCAGTGACCAAAGACCAGATCAGTTGTGGGATGCCATCAAGAACATCATATATGGAGAATTCTGGAATGATGGTGAAAGAGGCAGACAAGCTACACATACCCTCTACAACAAAGAAATGAGAAACCAATTGAAACAGATGTAGAAGATAATCCTGGAACCTTGAGCCTTGGAAGGAAAGGATAAAGATCTGAATTAAAAACCAACTAGTAGTAGAACCCACCATCCACTCCTCAGAAGGAAGACGGGGCAATCTACTTCCATAGTGATATTGCCTCAGAAACCCAAGGAGGGATCACTATGAGTCAGGTCCAACTTGACGGTGTATAGCAACAACAACAACAACAGTAGTAGAACCTGAAAGAAAACCATGAATAAGGAAACAAACAGAGATGTCAGCTGTCCTGACAGTGAGGCTAATTTGAATATTTACAAGTGGCATTCTGATCTGGGCAACAATCCAAGAATTGGTTCTATTTGTTAAAGAGTGCATAGGTAACCGCACTGGTGGTTGATGACTAGACAGGAAAATAGCAAAAAAAAAAAAAGAAAAAAAGGAGACAAACAGAGGTATGGACTATAGGCTTTCCCGAGGGCATGGCCATTTTGAATATTTGCAAGTGGCATGGCCATTTTGAATAATTGTAAGTGGTATTCTGATCCAGGAGGAAACCTAAGAATAAGCTCCACTTGCAGAGGACAGCACAGGCAACCTCACTGGAGACTGATGACTAGAAAATTGCTATATTCTCCTTGTTACCATTATACCCCACACCCACTTGGCGAACAGAGGTATGACCATCCCCCATCTCCGCACATCTTCTGAACTGACAGTAATTCAATTCCTGTCTGGGTGTCCTGCAACCAGTTGCCTTCTTGGTGGGCAGAAATTGGTTCCAGCACTAGGTGCCCTGTTTCTAGCCACATTTTGGGCCAGCAGGAATTTTTTTTTCTGATAACAGATACCCTACCTCCAGCCAGCTTTGGGTGTGGCAGGAAATTTTTTTTCTGGGAATGGGACTCGCTCCCAGTTAACTTTTGAGACAGCCAGGAATTAGTCTCTGTCTACAAGCTCTGCCCACAGATTCATTGTGAGGTGGCTCGAACTCCCTTTGGAACCAGGTGACTTTTTCCCAATCACTTTTTGGACTAACAGAAACTTTTTCTTGGTCCAGCGGCCCTGCCCACAGACACTGTACGGATAACGGGGAATTAAGCTGAAATCGAGTGCCCTGCCCACAGTTGCCCTCTGAAGAGATAGGAACTATCTCTGAGATCAGTCACCCTGCTCCCAGCAGCATATTGGGCTGGCGAGAACTTTTTCTGGGTCCAAGTGCTCTACACTAAGGCAGGAATTGGAGACAGCAGGAATTTTTTCTGAGACCAGACACCCCTATCCCCAGCCACATTTTCAGCAAGTAAGAATTCCTTCTGAAACCAGGTGCCTTGCTCCCACCACCATTTAGGTACACAATTACTTTTTCCAGGCCAGATATCTTGCCCCGAGACATTTTGGTCAAAAGGGACACTTCTGAGATCAGGTGCTTTCCCTCAGTTGTGAGCAGACAGGAACTAGTGGCAGGACTGGACCAGGTGCTGTGCTTCCCATTGACTGCTTGGCCAGCAGAAACAGCTACCTCCTATAGTTTTGTGTTTGTTTATTTTCAAATTATTCTTTTTCTTTTTTATTTTCCTCTTTCCTTCTTTTCTTTTTATTCTTTTTTCTTTCCCTAGTTTTTGGCTCTAATTTTATTTTTCCCCCTTTTGCTGGTTCTCTTCTTTTTTCCTTCTTTTCTTCTTTTGGTTCTGCCCATCCTTGGTTGTCTTTGTCAATTATTCTCATTTTTTTCTTTGTTATTGTTTTTCTCTTACTCTCTTCTCTTATCCCTCCCTCCCACATATTCGGAGGGATTTTGTTTTTTTTTCCTTTTTGTCTTGTGTTTGAATTTTATATTTATTGCCTTCCTCTTCTTCTTCTTCTTCTTTTTTTTTTTTTTTTTTGATTGTTTCTGGTTATTTATGTGGTTTGTGTTTTGTGGCCTCTTGATTTTATTTTTATTTTTGTCTGACTGGGTGGGAGACAGCAACCATGCCCACATGACTCAACTTGTACCTCCTGCAGCCCCACCCACTGGGTGAGGGCCACCACTTGTTTATGCACCAACTGATTAATGATAGATTGTAGCCAACACTAGCCCAACTCGTCCTCAACTACTTTTAACAGAGATCTGTGCACACACTGTCATCCTCATCACATATACCAGGATACAGGTGGTGAGTGCCTAAGTGATGCCAGATTAGCACATAGAATAGAAACCAATGACATCAAAATGTCTCTGAGACAACTGATCATCAGAGTCCACACAAAGAAGAAAGATAAAGTAGTACAAACTAGGGAAAAGAATACAGACACAGAAAACCTCCCTGAGGAAGAAACAGCATTAGAACTGCCTGATAAGGAATTAAAAAGAATTATATTTAGGTAACTTTAATAGCCTGAGAGATAGATCAAGGAAAACACTGGCAAAATTAAGGAAAACATGACAAAACTCAGACCAGTTTATGAAAATAATACAACAAATTGACAAAATAAATGAAAAATTAGAGACCATACAAAAATAAGCAAATAGAAATTCAGAAGATTAATATTAAGATTTCTGAAATAGATAACACTTTGAATGGACAAAGTAATAGGATTGAATCAATGGAAAACAGATTTAGAGAGATTGGAGACAAATCTTTCGATACTGCTTTGTTAAGGCATTAATCAGAAAAAAGATCAAAATAAAATGAAGAATGCTTAAGATTCATGTGGGATACCATCAAGAGGAATAACTTGCATGTGATCAGAATCCCGGAACAGGAAGAGACCAATAAAACCACAGAGAAAATTGTCAAAGATTTGTTGGAAGAAAACTTCCCTAACATGATAAAAGATGAGAAGATATCCATTCAAGAAATTCAATGAACTCCAAGCATGTAGACCCCAAGAGAAAATCACCAAGGCATATCATAATGAAACTCACCAAAACCAAAGACAAAGAAATCCTGAAAGCAACACAGGAAAAATGAAAACTTACCTACAAAGCAATCAATAAGACTAAGCTCTAATTTCTCAGCAGGAACTATACAGGGGAGAAAGCAATGGAATAGTATATGTAAAATTCTGAAAGAAAAAAAAGTGGCTAACCAAGAATTACATACCTAGCAAAATTGCCCCCTGAATACAAAGGTGAAATTAGGGCATATCCAGAAAAACAGAAATTAAGGGGATTTTTTAAAACCATACCAATCTTACAAAAAATGCTAAAAGGAGTCCTGTAGACAGAGAACCAACAACAGCAGATAACAACCAATGATTAACACACATGATGACAAAACCCAGAAACCAATACAGTTATAGAAGCATCCAAAGTAAAATAAACTCACAAGACTGTAAACAGGGAACAAGAGACATCAACTGGTAAATGAAGACAACTAAAAACCAGAAAAAAAAGGGTAGTGTAAGTACAGAACTTCCAAATGGAGAGGAAGTCCAGACAATTGTGAGATAAACCAGACTGTTCTAAACTTGGAAAGAAAATAATAAATTACTGGGTAACCTCAAAGAAAATTAATAAACTTTGCCATCAAAATTTAAAAAAAAAGTAGAGGCAAAAATATTTAGCAAATACTAAAACAATAACAATGAAGGAAGTGATTACAAATTCCATAAACAAAATGAGCTCAGCACAGAAAATATTATGGAACAAAGATCTCAGCAACCGCATGGAAAACATATAACTAAATGACATCAATAAATTCATAGATAATTACACAGAATGTAAATGAATTAAATGCACCACTCAAGAAACAGAGAGTTGCAGATTGGATTAAAAAAATACCATGACCCATCAATAATGCTGTCTATAAGAGACACACATTAGACATAAAGACAAAAATAGACTAACACTCAAAGGTTGGAGAAAGATACATCAAGAAAATGACAACAACAAAAAACAGGAGTGGAAATATTAATTTCTGATAAAATAGACTTTAAGACAAAAACCACCATAAGAGACAAAGAAAGACATTAAGTAATGATTAGAAGATCAACTGAACAAGAGGACATAACCATAATAAATATCTACACACCCAATGAAAGAGCATCAAAATACATAAATCAGACATTAACAGAATTAAAAAGACAAATAGATGACTCCACAGTAACAGTAGGAGACTTTAATATATGACTTTCAATGAAAAGTAGAGCAACTGGAAAGAAATTCAACAAAGATACAGAATAACTAAACAATGCAATCAACCCAGTTGACCTTATAGACAAATACAGAACACTTGACCTACCACCACCACAATATACATTCTTTTACAGCATACATGGTAAATTCTTCTGGATAGACCATATGTTAGCCCACAAATCAATCCTTAATAAATTTTAAAACACAGCAGAACTGCAAAGCTTCTTCTCAGATCATAATATTATAATAGTAGAAAACAGCAATAGGAGGATCAATGGAAAAAGAGCAAACACATAGAAATGGAATAACTCTCTCATTAAAAACTATGTGGTAACAAAAACCAAACAAACCAAACTCACTGCTGTTGAGTCAGATCAGACTCATAGTAACCTCTCCTTGGGTTTCTGAGGCAGTATCACTATAGAAGTAGATAGCTCAATTGTCCTTCCAAAGAGTGGCTGGTGGGTTTGAACCACCAGCCTTCTGCTTAGCAGTCAAATGCCTTAGGCACTATGCTACCAGAGCTCCTATTTGGTAAGAAGAAATAAAAAATTACATTAAAAAAGTCCTTGGATCAAATTACAATGAAAACACAGCATACTAAAATCTTTGGGACACAGTAAAATCAGTGATCAGAGGGCAATTTATAGTAATAGATGCACACATCAAAATAGAAGAAGAACAAAACTCAACTACTTAACCTAACATATCCAACAATTAGAAAAAGCAGCAAAAAAAAAAAGCTTACAGAAGAAAAGAAATAATAATGATTTGAGCAGAAGTAAATGAAACAGAAAATAGATAATAGAAAAAATCAATAAGACTAGCAGTTGGTTCTTTAAAAAGATTAACAAAATCAAGAAACCACTGGCAAACTTAACAAAAGAAAAGAAGGGAAAGATGCAAATAACACAAAGAAGAAATGAAATGGGAGATGTCACCACAGAACCAACCAAGATAAGAAGGATAATATCAGAATACTATGAAGAACTGTACTCCAATAAATTTGTAAACCTAGAAGAAATAAACAGATTTTTAGAAACACACTACTTATCTAAACTAACACAGACTAGGGTAGAAAATTTGAACAAATCCATAATAAAATAAGTAATCGAACGGGCCATAAAACCATGAAAAACAAAAAATGTCCTGGACTGATAGTTCTGGTAAGATGGTGAAATAAGTGGAAACACTGCACAGACACTCTTCAACAAACAAAAGGGGAACCAATTAACACAGACACAGAAGATAATCCTGGACCCATGAAGTCTGAAGGGAAGGATATAGAAATGGACTAAATTCCAACTAATAGAAGAATTTGCATGAAAATACTGAAAAAGGAAAGATACAGTGCTGCGGTCTGGCAGCAATCCTGATGGCACAGATAGCTTGGATATTGCCTAGTGGTGTTAGGACCTAAGAATTAACATAAAAATCAGCCCTGCTAACCAGGGACTGCATGGAGGACTGCTCTAGTGGCTGGAGAATAAAAGGGGAGGCAGTGAAGAGGACGGCAGATGGAGCTGTGGACTTTTGCCTGTCCAGAGGGTGCAGCCATTTTCAGTGTTTAC